GGCACCGGAAGGGGTTTAAGCAACCCAAACGGTTTATGTCGAAGCTTCTTGTTGCGTTTACAAAGAACGCAAGATTGCACATAGTCACGGACGAAGGTCCGCAACTCCAGCCAGGTGCAGTCGCGTCGTACGAGTTCGAGAGTGCGATTTTGCCCGAAATGGCCAGAAAGAATATGGTCGTGTTTATGTTGAAGGACACGTACCCACAATGCATCGGAGCCGGAGCCGGTTCCGACCAAAGGGACATAGATACGGTCATCAAGTCGTAAGAGACCTGAATTGTCAACAGACCAGCGCGAAGAAGAACCTGACTTTGCAGCCTTAAGACCGGCAGAAGCAGCAGAGTCGTTCGGAAGAGCTGCGAGGATGTCTGTGTGCAGCTTCTCAGTATCCATTATGACCGTTGCTCAGAGGACAACATCCTCGAGATACGATGCGTGTAGAGATGTTGCGAGTTGTTCAGTAGCAAAAATAGGGTGCAAATTTTGCGGATTGACCTTTCGGTAATCCCTATCCCCCTCTTTAGGGTAGACGTCCCATCGTCTAGTTAACACATCGGGTTTTCCGCCCAGACAGCCCGGACGGAAGCGGATCACCATGTTAAAATGGCAAAGGTACTCGGACCAGCGGACCTGACGACGAGTAAGAATCTTGGTAGTGGAAAAGTACTCAAGATTCTTGTGATCGGTTACGACATCGATCAGAAGCGGAGCGCCCTCCAGATAGTGGTGCTAGATAGTGAAGGCATCAAAGATAGTCAACAATGTAAGGGCAACCCTGGAGACTCCGACGAAAGCCTAGCAGGGGAGGATCCAAAGCGTGAATAGAAGCTACGGAAATACACGGAGGGACCGACCTAGCAGGGGAGGATCCAAAGAGAAGAAACTCTAAGGGTCCACCTGCTAGGGCGCCAACTATATACTGGTCGTCCGTAACTGCCAACGTAGAGCGCAGAAGGCCTGAGCGGCGTCGCAAGCTCTGTCCCAAGGTGATCGTTGGGAGGGTCTTGATGGATCGGTGATTGTGCGGGCGAAGGAGGCCGTGGACGATGGTCGGGGTGGGTCGGAGCGTCCGAGGGGGCGCCGGTCGGATGCGCCTCGGATGCGTTCGGAGGGTCCGAAGTAGGCCAAAGCGGGGGTTCCCCTGACAAACAACTCTTTGTCGTGCACGTCGTAGTTGAGTTCAGCTGGACCAAGGGTTCGGCTGCGGAAGGCAACCGGATGAATGTCACCATCATCCCCGTTGATAGAGAGGATAGAGGCGATGGCATAGTCGGAGGCGTCCGTTTTGACAGTAATTTGCCAACCAGGCACCCAATGGTGAAGTACTGGGGACTGTTTAAAGGGATTCTTAAGCGTATTAAACGCCGCCTCGCAGTCCTCCGACCAGTTCCACTTGGTATTGGCTCGTGGGAGACAAATCAACGGAACGGTAGTGTCGGAGTAGTAAGGAATGAAACACTGATAGAAATTACAGAACCCAAGAAAAGACTGTACGTCTTTGACCTTGCGTGGCACAGGCCAGTCGACAATAGCCGCAACTTCCTCCGGAGACATCCGGAAACCATCAGGTAAAAGGATATAGCCCAAGTACTCACAAGACTCCACACTGAACTCGCATTTCGATAGTTTGCAATAAAGTCCAGCGTCGCGTAAGCGGTCAGAGTACCTCCCGTACATGTTTGCGGTGCTCGGAGGGGTTGTCCGAATAGATTAGTATGTCGTCAAGGTAAACAATAATGCACACATCCAACATATCCGTGAAGAGGCTATTGACGAAGCGTTGAAAAGCCAAAGGCACGTTCATGAGGCCTTCAGGAACAACCCTCCATTCGTAAGAACCATGCTGTGAGCGAAACCCTGTTTTCCACTTGTCACCCTCCGCTATGTGGAGCAAGTGGTAAGCATGACGCAAGTCCAACTTCGTATAGATCCTAGCTTGACCCGGAGCGTCAAGGAGATCAGAAATGAGCGGAAGCGGATAGCGGTCGCGTTTAGTGATACGATTGAGACCACAGAAGTCGACACAAAAGTCGAAGAGAGCCGTCCTTCTTCTTAGCAAATAGGATCGGAGCACCATGAGAGGATTTAGACGGGTAAATGAAGCCCGCCTTGAGATTCTTGTCAATGAAGTCACGTAAGGCTTCGAGTTCGGCTTGGGAGATAGAGTAAAGGTGTCCGATAGGTGGAACAGCTCTGTCCTCAGTCTCGATGTGCAAGTCAAACTCTCTATGCGGTGGCAGATTATAAGCTTCAGTCTCTGAAAAGACTTTAGCTGACGTGCTTGCTTGCCAAATGACAAACAAGGACTAAGTGTGCAAGTGCCTTCAGAGCTAACAAACTCCTCAGGAAACTCAACACCAAGAACTCAAGAACTTAAGAGAGAACTCAAACTCAGAAGGGGAAGCAGCTCTATGATGCTGGGGAATATGATGCTAACTACTAACTATAGACAGGCTTTTATAGACTAGATAAAAAGGGCTAAATGAAATAGAAACTGAAATCAAATGGAAAATGAGCAACAAAGTCAGAAAAGATAGGAAATGGAAACTAAAATAGGAAAATGGTAACTAGAAAAGGAAGTGGAAACTAAAATAGGAAATCAAACTGTGTGACAAAGTGTGACTTGTGACGAGCCAGGCTCGTCACAGCGTAGTCATGGTATTCGAGGGAGTCCGTCAGGCGGGCCAGATGCAGAGGCTGCATTACCACGGACCGTCGGAACAGTGGTCCGTAGGGTATACTGAACGCTGAATGGTACCTTCTTGACGAATAGCTGCCGAATAAGCCGCAGCTGAGACAAGAGAGATGTGAGGGGCAGAACGAGGTGAATTGCCTTGACTAGAGGCCGAATCCATAGAAGGATCAGACTCCATAGAAGGAAGCAAGACAGGAGGAGGCGACAAGGGAGTGTTCAGAGGCGACTAAGGGGCCGGAACACACAAGAACTGTAATAGACACTGAGTCGATCCTCTCGAAACAGACAAACTTGACGCGATCGACCAAATTCGCGTTTTGAAAGGCAGTATGAGGATTATATCCGTCGGGAATGACAGACCCCATGTCAAGTGGATGCCGTCACGGGACGACATACCCTGTGTGCTGTGCCAAAACGAAGAGGACTGCAGAGATAAGATCAACCTACATTGGGCCGAATTGTCGATTGGGTCCTCGATTGAGTTGGCCATCTTTAGCTCGTGGGCTGACGACTCAGCGAGTGGAGTGTGCCCTGCATGCGTAAAAGCAGCGCGAACAATGTATACAGACATGCAAAAGGCATTGTGGCAGGAACTCCCCTCGTTTTTCGAGATGGATAGCTGGGAGGACTTACAAAAAGCGGACTTTGAGTAGAATTGAGTAGGCTGTTCTGAGGCTGTTTCGATAGTCAAATGCACTGCCAATGACAAAAATATCTCTCTCAAAAGGATGCCAAGAGGATTTGCGGGTATCTCATCGACGGCGGTGCCTGTCAATGCATACTAGTTGATCTCTTCCCACCACATCAGCAAAGATCAGCAACCACAGAGCCGTCCACACGATGGCTAATGTGTGGTCGACACCGGAATCGTATTGATTCTGTTGCGAGAATTTCATGGGCGCCGTCTTTAGCGTCAAGATGGCAAGAGTTTGGAGGCGGTAGCTACCGTAGTAAAGCTGCAGCTGACCCCGCCCGCATGGGGGACCCGAGTGTTTGCCGCCATATCAACGAATCCCGACTGGACCCGGCAAAGCCTCTTGAAACATGTCGAGACCTGACAACGGCTGGCGGGCGGAACAATCGCCCCATTGACTATATAAACAGGACCAGAGCCGAGATGTGTTTTCCAGGTTCTTTCTTTCTTCCTTTCGTACCTCTCCGCTTTCCACTTTTCTTCGACTTTTGGCAACTGCGTTGTCTTTTGTTCTTCTTCTTGTCCATATTATCGCATTCCCTTCTGTCCGACCTTCCTCTCAACGTCAAACATGAAGTTCTCTACGACCCTCGTCGCGATCTCTCTTTGTGCGTCTGACAAGCCTGTGTTGTCTTTGTTGTGCTAACAAGCCACTTTCCTGTAGTCGTCATCGGCATCAGTGCCCATGAGCTCCCCGCCCGCTATGCCGAACAGCGTCGAGGCAACCAGTTTGTTACTGGCCCTTGCAAGAAGGACTCGGATTGCCAACAGGGCTGCTGCGCATTCAAGACGGGCAAATGCGCCGGCCCTGCTATTGCGCAAACTCGCGATGGCGGCTGTGGTTTCGGTAGCCCAAAGCCCAACTGCAACGTCGCCAAGGCACTCAAGCTCTCCGACTGCGTCGCTGGCGCGGTAAACGGAGATCTTTCAAACCCCGATATCCAAAACGCTGCCAAATTCTCGGCCAACCTGAACGGCATCCCGTTCACCCCGATCAAGGCGAAAGCTGCTGCGCCGAAGAAGCCTGCCCCGAAAAAGCCCGCCCCCAAGAAACCAGCGCCAAAATCATCGGGAAGCGCAAAGGGCCAGTCGGTCGCGTCTCTCGCCGCTCAGCAGAAGAGCAAGAAGACCGTCTTTGAGACGTGCTCCTCCGACTCGCAGTGCCAACAAGGCTGCTGTGGCTTCAAGTCGGGTAAATGTGCGGGCCCAGCAGTCGCGCAGACCAACGGATCTGGTGGATGTGGCCGGGGAAACGCCAAGTGGGTTTTTTTTCCTTCTAGCTCGTTATGAGTGTCTAAAGACAGTGTTAGGCCCAACTGCAATGTTGCATTTGCCCTTGGCTTTGGTGGACAATGCACTCCAGGTGCTACCCATGATATTCATGCTGCTGGTGTGCAAGCCGCTTCTGCCTTCGCTGCTCAGCTCGATGGTATCAAGTTCACTCCATCGTAAGCGTCTGTCGTAGATGCATAGATAGTTTCGTCTCTCTGGGTATACCGCAGGATAGGTCTAATAATGGATGGATTGTATTTGAGTCCAAGTCTTTTTTCAGCATAAGTAAAATCGCGACCTGTCACATCCGTCACACTTGTCCTTCTTTTTCCAAACGATGTCAGACGACGATGCTGAACGTCCATTAAAACGCCATAAACCGCAACATGAGCATCAAGAAACGAACGTGACCGAGATAGAGCGCTCTCCTGACTTCTGGTTCGACGACGGCAACATCGTATTGCAAGCTGGACCGACTCAATTTCGAGTGGCCAAGAGCATGCTCTCGAGACATTCCTCAGTGTTTCGAGACATGTTTTCACTCCCGAACCCAACTTCTGAGTCGACCGTGGAAGGCTGTCCTGTTGTTGTGCTGGCAGGAGATACGAATACGGACTGGAAACATCTGCTCGCGGTGATGTACCCAGCAATGTGAGTTTTTGTTTCCGAGTCATGTCCTCAACGACGCCACGTAGATGTTACGACTTAACCAAGCCCAATATAATGACAGTCATATCGGTTCTGCGTCTCAGCAAAAAGTATGACCTGCCTGCGTTCCGCAAGGAATCCATTCGCCGACTGAGAGGAGACCTCCCGTCGAAATTGGAAGACTTCAGAAAGTTGCCAGTGGCTGGCTGGTTGTATCTCGGAGAAGTCTCGGATGTGCAGCTGTCTCGCACCATTGCACTGGCAAAGGAGTTGTGTCTGTGGTCGATCCTTCCAGCGGCCTTCTACGGACTCATTGAAAGCATTTTCAATCACGATGGAGTCGGTGCCTCATTGTTGTTCAGTTGTATGGGCTCATCTAATCACAGAGTTATCGCCCCGTAGGGCTCAGCCTGGCTGATGAAATTTCCCTTCTCAAAGGCTACGCAAGACTGACGCGGTTGAACACCGAAGCCCCGAACCGCGCATGGCTGGAAGCAGAAAGCCCCTGCGTGCCCTGTGACGACTGTCTCTTCAGGACGTTATGTCGTTCTCGATGTGCATCACTGCGGAGCACTCTCCAAGCGCAGCAGGCGGGACCTGGGGCGGTTTTTAGTGGATGGGACGAGAACTGGTCAGATGAGTTTTGTGGTCCTTGTATAAAGGCGGCAAAGGAGGCGTACAACGATAAGCAGCTGGAGATTTGGAAGCAGCTGCCTTCTTTCTTTGGGCTTCCTGATTGGGAGGAGTTGCGAAAGATGGACCTGGACGCCGGGGAGTGATAAATCCTGCTGTTTTTGTTCCTTGTTCCCGCTTGCTCATGCACTTGTCCCTTGTCGAATGTGAATGTACTCATCGTTGTTTGTATCACATAATGTTCAGGCCATCCTCGTACATAAAAAGTTTATAGACATTTCAAACCAATCTTCATCACAAAAACCGGCCCAAAATCATAATCATCATGTTACGTACTTATAATCGCCACAAGCCCTTATAAGCCTTGACAAGCTTTGATGCTACCTCGTATGCTACTCGTATGGAGATCTCCAAACCCAGAAACCTGTGAAAGGTGCTTGCACGCCTCGATTAGGGTCATTCGTCCTTCCACGGATTTTTTGGCCTTGTAGCTTCTATCAACTCTTTTGCTCGCTTCTAATGGCTAGAGGGATGACCTGGAGTCACAAGGAATTGCCCGATGTAGAATACCTTGAAACCTCTGTGCATCTAACTAAAAGCATCATGAAGGATATAGGGTATTGTTGCCCTTATAAGCGATGCCCAATCTATCAAACACTTGCAGGGGCCCGAACGGATAACGGTGCCTTGCGAGCGGTGCCCAATCTACCAAGCACGAGCAATGACCCAAACTAATAACGACACTTTCAAGCACCAGGGTGGATGGCTAAAGCTAATGAGTGTTTTCAACTTTCTAAAACTCGAGTAAGCCTGTTCCAAAGGCAGAAAACCTTGACAGAAGTTACATGAAATTTTGATTATAGCAAGCCCTCACAAGCAAGTTAACGTTTATTTATCGCCTCAACCATTTTCGATGGTCACAAGGGGTAGTCTTATCAGCAACTGCTGCCAAAAGATGCAATGTATTATTGTGTATATAAAATACGACGTCGACATCAATGATTGGATAGACTTGGATTCGCAGAACAGGAAAGAAAGGCGCAGCAAAGAGAGTGGTGTTCTGTTAGACGCTGTTGGAAAGATCTTGAAGCGCACCTGCAGCCAGGCGGCGGCGGCGCTGAGCTATAGCCTCATCTTCGCTCTCATCACTGTCGTCTTCATCCCGTTCATCTGGGAGTTCGCCAAAAACACGTCTGGGCACCGTCAGCAACATCCAATGGTGGAGGTGGAAAGTACCATACTCCGTCAACCAGTCCAGAGTTTCTTCTCCCCACTGTGGGTGGTCCGGGTCCGAGTTGTCGGCGAAGGCATCCAGAACTTTCTTATACAGCGTAACGAACTTATATTTTTTGCTTTCTTGGCTTGACCATTGAGGAAGGCTGCTTATGGATAGCCGAATCTGAATTGTGTCAGTGTGAAAGTCTTCCAGAAATCCATCGATAGCTACTTGCCTGCACCACGACATATGCAACAATGTGTGGAGTAATGCGGCGCACGTTATGGATAGCCGCGAGACAACACAAAGACAACTCGTCATTGGCAGCATTGCTTGCATCGGAACGCGACACCAACAAAAGCCTGAGGCCCTGGATAGAGATATAACATCAGTATAGAACGCGATTGACGAGGGAAACATACCCGCCAGATGGCGACGCCGGTGAAGAGATTCTCTTGATATGCTTGTGGGTTCCATTTGCCATCTGGGTAGCAAAACGAAGGGAAGTATTTAGAGGACGGTTGGTACTTGTTTTCGACAATCTTGTCATATATCCTGAAAGATGAGCAGATGCCATGAGTGAAATTGGAGAACCAGGAGAACGACAAATACTTCTGAGCTGGTGGACTGGCAAAACATCGTCAATGAGGCAACATGTAGCAAATAAAAACTTCACGATAGAGGCGGAGGCGGACTAGTATAGAATAAGCACGTCTTACAATACGATATTACCAATAGTTCAAGGATAACTTACTTGACTGGACCATAAACCAAAGGCGGGAACAAGATACGGTCTTTCCAGGGCATCATCAGCATACGGAGTTGAGGGTGCGCCAGACCCCGTTTCGCCTTGGATAGTCCTTGGTCGATCGGCGGATAGAGACAGTCGACACCGGGAATAGGGAGTAGGATGTGTAGAGCGTTCTTGAACGCGTTCGTATCTTGTGTTCGCGCCTCACGGGCAGATTTAGTCATCTAAGCCACACATGAGAATGGTGATGCTGAGTAAGACGACAGCGGCGCACACGATCGCATAGAGCTTGCCAGAGACCAGGTTTAGTATTTGATTCATTATAAATGCGTTGCAGAACCGGCAGCAGGTCAATGCGGCACGTCGCCAAGATCATCTTGAAAACTTCTGCATGGTGAGCTGGGAGTTCGCTAAAACCAGACGCCAATAAGCACGGGGGAGCGGAGTGAACTTGAGATACCTTGCAGGAAGTCCTTCCAAGCGAGCTGACCCAGCATCGGAGAAAGACTTGAGACAGCCGTAAGAAAGGATACGCTTCATGTTCCAGAAAGCATCCGCTCCACGGGGAGCGAACTTGGCGGCGTCGATTAATTGGTGGTAGGCGCCACGATGCATCCTAGCAATGACATGGTACAAAAAACCTATCAATCCAACTGAGGGACCTACGCATTTCTAGGCGGTGCCGCCTTGCGTTTACCCAGGATTGTGGCGGGATCGGCTGGTGAGACGTTGGATTGGGAAATTAAACCGAGGTTTTCGAGAATGTCGTTGTAGTAGCCTTGAGTATCGCGGTCAAGTGATTGCCGCTCGGTGTTTGGTGGCCTTGAGGCAGAAGCTCAAGTAAGCGTGCGTTGAGTGAGGCTGAATGGGTTACCTGTCGTTGGTTTCAGACATGCTTGGTGAAGGACGGAAGGAAGGAGGTAAAACCGGAGATTCAGGCGTTGAAATAGAGCCATCAAGCTTCCAGAGCCCGCAACGCCAAAAGGGAATATTAATATTGATGATAGCGCATCAGTCATCAATTCAGAGCAACGATTCTCGACCTCTCGTTTACCTCTGTCTGCTGACATTCAACGAGTAAAAACTAGCGGACATTCCGCTACATTATCATCCAAAATAAAAACGGTTCGAACGACGATAACCGTATATAAAATCCTTGGGGCGAAGCCAAGTATCTGGAAGCATTAACAGGATGGCGAACGACCGTTCGTCGAGGGAGGGGCGACAGTTTTATTATCGTCTTCTCGCTCAGCTGCTTGTTTCCCAGCAATCTCGGTTGATTCGGAGACCACTGCTGCAATATCGATACTCGCACAGATTGCAAGCTCCCCAGGGGTAAATTTCTGTCAGGTCGGCACCAGAGAAGCGATGGGGACTCTTGGCCAAGGAGTTCCAGTCGAGTTGGGGTGCAATGGGTGATTATTCTGGAGGACATCTCGACGGGACCTTGAGTTGGGGGAAGGGATATAGATGAGTTGGTCGTAGCAGCCGTCGGTAGCGCCGATGATGAATACATTCTTCTTCAAGTCCATAGCAGCTGTGTCTGCAAGGGGTTGATTCAGGACCAGATCTCCGCACCCCCAGTATCGCCAGAGGATCCACACGGGCCTTGGCGGTCGAGTCCGACTCAGCAAAGAACATAGCAGACGGGCCGGTAGCGCAGGTTTTGTCGACTCGTCAAGCCAGTTTGTCAACAGCTCAGATCCACACTTGTCGAAGAACATAACACACGGGGCAACAGCGCGGGCCTTGTCGAAAACATCCCGGACATTGGCTTCCGATTCTCCGAACCACATCGTGAGCAGCTCGGGTCCCTTGATTGAGATGAAGTCGGCATTGCAGTACCGGGAGGCCATAGGACAAGACACCCTCGAATGGAGACAAGCCGTGCTTGACGAACTTCTCTGGATGTTCGACGGGGGCATTGAACCAGCTCGAGCTTGACTTTTCCGAGGCCACCAATTTCGTCCCATTTGACGGTCGGTACTTCGACAACAGTTTCCCGCAAAGCAGTTGGATTTGAAATGCCCAATGCGAAGCGGAAGTTGTCCATCGTCACTCCCAGCGAATCGAGAACCTCAGCATCAATCGTGTCCCCATCAAGGTCAATGAGGTCCATCTTTTCACGGATTTGCTGCATCGCCTCTGAGCACAGCGATGCAACATCAGATCCAACGTAGCCACGAGTATCAGCAGCAATCTGGATAGATGATCAAGATTAACAGTTGAACGAGAGGAAAAAAAGCAGCCTACCTGTTCCAAGTCTACATCGTCCCCAAGCTTCATGTTCTTGGTGTGGATGCGGAGAATCTCGAGACGACCAGTAGGGTCGGGAATTCCAATGTCTACTTCGCGATCGAACCGTCCGAATCGACGAAGGGCGGGGTCAATGGAATTCGGTCGATTCGTGGCGGCCATGACCACAACGTTGGAATGAGCTTTCAGTCCATCCATAAGAGTTAGAAGTTGGGAAACCACACGGCGTTCCACTTCTCCGTTCGTCTGTGTACATTTTGAGTCCGAGTTGTGAGAAGAACTTGAAAAATGCGCACCTTTTCACGTTTAGGCGCAATCGAGTCGATTTCGTCGATGAAGATGATAGCCGGCGAGTTCTTCTCAGCCTCCTCAAACGCCTTTCGAGATTGCTTTCGCTTTCTCCAGCCATCTTGCTCATGATTTCGGGGCCGTTAATCAGGAAGAAAAATGCACCAGTTTCGTTTGCCACAGCGCGGGCCATAAGCGTTTTGCCAGTACCGGGAGGACCGAACATGAGGATACCGCGGGGAGGCTTGATACCAATGGATTTGAAGAGTTGCGGGTGGCGAAGGAGTTCAACGAGTTCCCGTATTTGTGCCATCTGTTTGCGGCAACTGTCAATGTCGTCGTAACCGACATCCGCAAGGTTGGACTCCTCGTCAACCCTCTGATACCAAGAGTTAGCTTGCTAGAATAAGAGAGAAAGTAAGCCGACTGACCCGTATGAATAACGGTGTCTTGGGCAACAATGCAAAACTCAGCTGGATAACCTTGAACTCGACTGTGCGCATCCCTCCACGGACAAGGAAAGTATCGCCCTTTCGGACGGGGCGGTAAGCTGTATCCTTTATTAGTGAACCCCACAGAAAGTCAAGTCTCTGCGGTACCTTCGAGGAAATATGGTTTGAGGTAGACCTCGAAAATGTTGCCGCTCAAACCTTCGATAGAGTCATCGGAGGGGAGGATGTGAACGCGTTTGCCGTATTTGATGTCGAGGCAAGAGTGGACATTGACGAGGTCGCCTAACTTGACTCGCAAGTTGTTGCGAGCTACCTTGTTCATTTGGATACGTCCCTCCTCAACTGCGTCGTTCGAGAGACAGATGAGGACAGTATCCCTCCGCTTCTTCCCGCTGCGATGACAAGCTAAGTACGCGTCTGAGTAATCGAATGGATTACTTACCGAACGATGACTGCGTCCCCACAAAAGAGACCAAGGGTCTCCATAGTCGCTGGATGAAGAGTGGCGACTGGGGAACAATGAGCGACAAGGGACAGCGCAGGATAGTAAACATACCAGAGTTATCATCCGGGTTGGCAATAAACGCGTGGAATGACAAAAGGAAAACCGACGATTTCTTGAGAATAGCCGTTCGTATGCACGATCTGGACCCGGTTGGGGTGGAGCGCCGCTTGGGTCTGCCATAACTCTCCGTACCGGCAAGACCAGCTGCTAGAATGCCGAGGGGAAAAGCCCCGCTCAAGGCACACGCCAGGCTTGAAGCTTGAGGTGGCGGCGCTGGCAGGGCAGAGGTCGGTGATGGCGCGGTCGATCGGCTCAGATGACTCATCAAACCGGACTGAAATTGGATCGATGAATTGACGCTAATAACTACCACATGGAATTCTTTGCCAATATGAGAACGAGAATTAGGATTGGACGAGCTTGATACGCGGCGCGGTGAGTGACTGTAGTCGTCTCCACTCAGACAATTGCAGATCGGGTCCGATTAGAAGCGCGCTTGGACTTGCGGTCGGCCAAACTTGACGTGCTGGCGGCCATCGCTCCTCCCGGCCTGAGTATTGATAATCAGTAAGAAACTTCAAGCTTCAAGTTAGAGTCCCACTTACAGGCTTGGGTTTTGCCCATCTGGAGCTGACTCCAAATCAGGGACCAGGGAGGCTTCAAGCTCGTCACGATAGGCAGGATCTTTGGCTGTCTCGACCAGAACGTCCAAAAAGTTCAACGTACACTGACTCGTATTCGGTTTCGGCGAATGTATGATTAGTACCCTCTACCACGCTTTGAAGAAAGTTGAGAACCTGGGGGACGGTCAGTTAAACTTGAAGATATTGTCATTTTGAATAAATTTGAGCTACACCCACCAGCGTCCGCAGCGCAAGCAACCATGGGAAGGGTGGCAGGTTCTTTGCGGAGTTCCTCAGGGCTGTGTGGGTCCAGATAACGTTGCGCACGCAGAACCTTGACCGCCTCGATTAAGATGGGTCCCACGAAGCGTCCGCTTGGAGGCAACCCGGATCGCACCAGGGCTACCCAGTCGGTAAGACTTGAATCCGTACCAGTCCATGCGCAAGAATCATCCTGAAGTTCATTCATGTTAGCCGAGAATATTATAAGGCGTATGAAAATCAAATACCAAGGGATAGTCATGAAGATAGCTCATCTTTCCCAGAAGCTGTCGTGCTCGGTTGGCGGGATATTCTTTTGCTTCTGCCTCGGTATAGGGACGGTTCGTCGCAGGATTAAGCTCGTCTTCCTCGAGGATAAGTTTGCATGCCTTGCGTAGGCCATACGCCGAGTTGCTTTTTAGGTGTCCACGATATCGAGTATTTGACTCAAAAATCTGCCGTCGAGGAATCAGCGCGACTCGGATAAGCCTTGAACATGAAAAAGGAGACGTACACTGTATGCCATGGTAACACGCTGCTCGTCTGAAAGGTCGCTCGCTACAAACTTAAGCCAAGATTGAGGGGCGATCAAGATAACTTACTAGCGGGAAGGTCAAGGCCCGGAAGGCTATCGGCAACCTGCAGGACTGCGTCTCGTGCAACTTCGAAAAATGAAGCAAAGACGGTCTCCGGAGGGGTCTTGGACGGGTAAAAGTGAACGGCGACAAGGGCGTATCCGTAGAAGATGGTGATCGCATATAGCCAAAGTCGCAAACTGTCTGAGAGTATGCTAGCGACTTCTCCAGCGCGTCGCCGCCGTTTGGATATTGTAGTCACTTGCGGAAGCGCAGGCGTCGAGGACTCAGATGGTGCTGCCGGTGGGGACATCCTGATCGTACGCTCGATTTGGCCAAGATTTCCCGACTTGCGACCAAACAGAGGTTTCGTGTGCTTGGTTGCATGAACCTTTATCAACTTGTTGGTCAGGAGGCGGTCGTTAACCGTGTCCTTAAGAGAATTAAGTTTGAAAATCGGATGCTAAAAGACGCTTTACGATAATGACCGGCTCCCTCTGGGGAGGAAGAGAGACAAGGACTGGTTCCGCCGGAGTCGCAAGGGTTACTAGTACAGGATCCGACTCGGGAGCAGACTCCAACTCGGAGTCCATTGACATCTCAGGCGTCAGCTGAAAATTTTAGTCAGTTAAGAAAGCCTCATGAATCAGCACAATTCGAGTCACCTTTGTAGACTCCGAGTCTGAGTCGACGAACATGGAGGTGGGCTCCAGTAAACCGTGAATGTGATCAGTCTCGTAGGCAACCTCAGGCTAGCAGGAAATATAAGCGCTTGCCACTTCAAGTTGCCGAAGTCCGAGAGACATACCTGGTCAGTTGTGTCCATGCACCAGTCCAAAGAGTCCGGATCAAAGCCAAGAGGAACGCCGCCTCCGAAGGGAGTCTAAAACGCATTAGAATATTGAATATAACAGACGCGCTCGGAGGGTTGCAGAGTAATTAAAGAGGATTTGCGAGGCTGGCTGCCTTGAGCAACTTGAACGCTCATCGCTCGCTCGCTCCTCGTGACAAAGCGCGACACGACGAGCGACGTAACAAGCGACGCAATGAGCGACGCGACGCGATGAGCGACGCGATGAGAGACGCGATGAGAGACGCGATGAGAGACGCGATGAGCGAGAACAAGATTCCAGTGCCAGTGAGCGATTTGACTGGCCCAAGCCACTGAAGCCAGGCGACGAGAGACGAAAGAAGAGGCAAGTTACCAGCGAGTCATGCGAGAACTCGCAGAGAGTGTTGTTACAAAACTGGTCGGTGCAGCCTGCCGGCGAGAGGTAATTTGAAGACATAAGGTACCAGCGACTGTCGCCCGACTCGTCGTTCAAGTTGGGATCTAAGAGAAGTGTAAATGGCCCATTTGTGTATCAGGAGAGCCAGCGCACTAGTCAGGCCCGGGTCGGCATCGAGCCCAAAGCGATCAGCGGCGTCGTCGCGAGCTCGCCGCGAGAAAACATGGCTGGTCGTGGGGGCGTGGAGCAGGCTTGAACGTAGAGACCCGCATCTCATAAGCGAGGGCGACGGGGTTTAAAATCGCCTTTTCGGCCCGACGGGAGAACTTGAAGGGTCGGACATTTGGTGATGGAGGGCGTACGAGTCGAAGTTATTTTAGAGACGGACAAAGACCCTTGATGGGAGCCGTCGATCACGCGGGCGGCGGTAACGCGTGACTCGTTCGACGGCCCTTCGAGTTCGAGCCGCGTATTTCGACCTGCGCTGGGCACACGCACACCATGAATGCAGTTGCTGAACCAATATCTTCTCTGCCATTTCATGGAATCCATGATACCACAACTTTCCCGGACGCCTCAGCAAAAGCGCCAGATACGGCGAACACGCGCAGCGGCGGGACCTCCCATCTCATCGTACGTATCATCGATCTTTCGGATTTATGTGGTGGACTATACTATGGCAGAATCTTCAGTCTAACGACTGGCACCTGCCCTTTCCAGCGACCAAAAGGGAATCTCAAGACCTCGTGCATCTCATGCGGGCTCATCAGAAGCTGAGGCGCTTTGAACAAGCCGCCGCGGAGCTCAGGCTCCACGAAACAATATTATATGTGAATCTACTAAGGCAGCAGGTGGGACGAGCAGCGAAGCAAAGTCGAGATGTGGATAGCGATGTTGGGAAGGTCGAAGCGGCGACCCAGGATCACCACGGCCCGGAGGTATGCGGACGGTCGAATTGCAAGTATTGTACAGCGAAGATATGAGAGTAGTCGACGTTTTCCCCAGGGTATGTAGGATATAGCGGTTCGAGTTGAAATCAAATAAGACGACGCTCAAAGGTTATTACGAATAGCTATGCGTCGGAGGCCTGCGTCAGATCTATGACCATGTTTTCGTCGTCCGCCTCCACTTCTGCACTTCGAAAAGAGCTTCTCCAGTTTCTGGACAAGGTCGGCAGCTTCTCGTTTAACTCGTCGCAACTCTACATCGACCTGATCCAAGAGGGCGGTCTTCTGTGCTTCAGCACGTTTAGCCCGAGCGCGCTCCAGTTCCGCCGCAGTCATCTGGTCAAAGGCGATATCGCGTTCCTCGTTGGCGGCCTCGCATTCCTTGTCGGCGGCCTGAAGTTTCTGCTCGGTGTCCTTAAGCTTCTTGTTCGCTGTGTTCAACTTGGCTTGAAGGTCAGACAACCGCCTGTCCCAGCCAGTGAGCTCATTTTGAAGCTTGTAGAGCGTATTGTTAAGGCGGGTGTTATTGTCGAGATGGCGATCATGTTGCTCGAGGAGTGTGTCGTAGTTCCCCCGAAGGCCCTCGTGAAGGCCACGAATGTCGTCGAGCTCGCTAGTCAACCGAGCTTTCTCCCGGACGACGGCTTCGTGGGCTTGTCGCAGCTGAAGGAATTCACGGGGACTTGAGAAAATATTAGCACCAACGCGCAGAAGGATACTGGACGATACTCACAGAGCAACAGATGTAGAGCTGGACAACATTGGAGCCAGAGAGAAAGGTGACTGTGTCACGCCCCGCATGACAAGTATTTTTAAGGGCACGATCACATGACCGCGATTGAGGTGGCTGCCGGCGTAGCTGGAACCCAGAAAGCCGGTTGTGAGAAGGGATCTGGTAGGTGAGATAGGGAGGGAGGGAGCTTGACGACAGGGCGGGGTCGCGGCTGGATGTCGGCATTATTGCTGGCTGCGATTGCGCCCGAAGTTGTACTCGAAGTTTCGCCAAGTTGTTGAGCGCAAGCCGCGTCGCGTTGCAGGAAGCGAGCCCAAAGATCCGGTCGCGCGCAAGTCCGACTTGGGGACCATACATAGGTGTCGCCAAACTGCAGTATGAGCTAGAAAGAAATGAGACGGCGCAAGATATCTCATAATTGTTCATGACGTCGAAAGCGACGGGAGGGGAAGTTACTCGCAGCTTCGAGGTGAGAGTAGCGGAAGAGAGACTTGATATATATCAACTACTTGCAGCCCTTCTACATATCGACTGCCGACTTGCTACGTCATTGTTGGCCAATAACCGTTCTTGATAGCTCTCGGAAACTTGCACAAGGAATGTTCGTCCGTGGCGAGATCGAAGAAAACTGATTTGTGTAGTTCGGGGGGGATAATCGTGGCCAGAAACGCGTGGACGACTTTAAGTCCATAGATGCAGGCTGCAGGAGTAGATTTGTGTGGTTTATCGTCGTCGTCGTTGCGCGCTCTTTTGGGAATCAGACCGAGAGTCTCAAGTCCCTTAACGGCACCCTTATTCAAGGTGCAGATAATCGTTCCCAACTCCTCAACGGACGGCGGGTCGACCAAACGAGGATTGGTGTATGTTAAATCGGCAGCGAGCAAGTAGCTGGTCAAGGGACCTAGTCCAGGGAATCGTTTGACGCGTTTGTTGCGAGCCTTGTCGACATAAGTGCCG